CATACATGTATATCATTGTCACTGAATAACAACATCACCTGAATGTTCTAAAGCGGCCTTCACACGGCAAACTAAAGTTCAACAACACATGTTAAAATTTTAAAAGTTGTCAAACTCCCATTTTCACACTTACATAAGTAGGTTGAGTTGACCAAAACATCACATGGCAATTTCGTTGTTTGACAACACTTCACACATCAAACTGGAGTTTGCCAACACCAAAAGTTTGATGGAAAAGTTGGTGAAAATAGAGAGCGATTTTATTTCTCGACAACAGTTTGACAACTCTGAAATTGGAGTTGGTGGCACGTTGTTGGAATGTTCACACTCTCAAACTAGAGTTTCACAACATGTGTTGTGGAACTTTAGTTTGCCGTGTGAAGGCCGCTTAACATGTTAGTAACACATCCATAGCAACACAGCTAACTCACACATTCACATCAATCAGTCTCAAAGATTATTAAACATGAAAAACATCAACCCCAAACTCAATATTAGAACAAATGGCTAGGGTGTAAAATGACATGGCAACCATTATCGCAAAAAGTTGACAAAACAGAACAAAAGTTATGTAGCTATTGAGCACTCATTTCAAAAATGGAATGGGTGTTGGCTCTCTGGCACAAAAACAAATGGCATCACAAAACATTTTCTCTGAAAAATTGTTGTCTTTTGTTTGTTTCATTATTTTGGATTTGTGTTTGATCCAAATATTGTACGGCCATCACTTGCAGAAAGGGATTCCGTTTTACATATCTAGGTCAAATGTAGACTAACATTTAGTCTCTGAAATGAACATATTTTTACAGAAAACAAAAACTGTTCATAAAAAATAATTATAAAATATAATGAAAAAGGAGCCCAGTGACTTTCTTCATTTTCAGAAAGTTTGGAAATCTGGACATGCCACATACAGTAGAACACGGATATAACGAACTCCAAGGGACCAAGAAATTTAGTTCGCTATATCCGTTGTTCGTTATTCACATTTGACCGCCATCTTGGATTGTAGAGATGTAGAGACATGTATATGCTGAGGCTACAAATCTTTATTCTTGTACATGTACATTGACATAACATTAAAATTCTGAATTTATCATTCACAGACATTAGCTAGAACATGTTTAACAATCACAACAATCTCAACAATACATGTATATAATTTAATCAAACAATGTTGATTCTGCCGCCAACAAGGTTGATGTATACTGCTAAGTGGCTGAGCTGACACTGAGTGAGTTCCTCGCTAATCACGTCGTTAATTGGGTCATGGGGTAGTAAATCAGTTCCCTATAGCCGTTAATTCGCTACTCATGAGTTCAAGTTATTCGTATAATTTAATAATATCATAAAAGGACTATTGACGGACTTTTAAATTTGTTCGCTATATCCGGCTTTGTACGCTTATATCCGTGTTCGGTATATCCATGTTCTACTGTATTTTTTACTTGTATCGGCTTTCTTGGATACATTTGTTTCAGGGTCTGTATGACAGACCAGGTCACATGGTACTTTAGGTCCTCCAACCAATCACTTGATGATTACCTTTATTTAAAGTTCCTAGGGTAAATCCACTCATCTATGACTAGAACTACTAAACACACTGTACACATGTACAAACTCTCTAACAGCATCTCACGACAAAACTTCTACAACTATTTCAACACAATCTGCATCCACAAGCAAATCAAACATCTCGTCTCACCTCTAAAACATAACAAGTGATGCAATATGTCATTATCGGGGTCGGAAAAATTGGCACAAAATAAAGCAGGAATTTATTACACATTGTATTCATTTAATAACAATATTGTTATTATTAACAAAGTCTATGCCTTTGGGGCTTTTGTTATTTCACACAAAAATATTCTGACAATTTCAAAATTTAAACACACTGGTTGAAGAAATATTCATGAACTGTAGTTCACAAACTCTGGGCGATATTTGTTTTATTTCTTTATTTTTAAATATACTTTTCAGAAAAGTAGTAAATAACCATTTCATTGTTTTTGTATATAAAATGTACTTTCAGTTTGATACATTTTGTGCAAAACAATGTTTGTGGTGAAAATTCATATTGGAATTCAAAGGAAAAAAAAGTGCTTTATATATTTTGAAGGTATTTTTCTAAAATGATTTTATAGTTTGTGAAATTCAAAAATGAATTTAATAGTTTTGTCCAGATACAGTCAAAACACTACGATATAGTCCCCTTCACCTGTCATAACAAGTATTATGAAATAATTTCTAGGGTTCCAGCTGACAAGTTTCAGTATGGATTAACAGCTACAAACTCAACACATACCATATATATATACAGTTTGGCTGATACTTTCAATATTTTTGAACATGTGAAACATTCTGTCAGCAAGTCTATGGGTAAATACCAATTTAACTAATGAAATTAAAAATATACATAACCTTATTCAATTGTTTACTGAACAAACAAGTGTCTTTGTCTAGATTCCACATGACTTTACAAAATTTCCACAAAGTATTTTTGCTTTTGGTGGTTTCAAGTTACACCAAATTCAAATGAATATGATATTTGGTCAATCTGGTTGAGCTGTGTGATACAAAAAATGGTGTAACATACTCTTCTCCCAGTGTCTTCGAGTCTGAGAGCCATCATCTACATGCTTACATTACATTGGGAGGTAACCATGGCTACTGTGTTACAAGGATAAGGTGATGAAGCTTGCAATGCAACCGCTGAACATACATGACTGAAGAATGGTGCTGTCATCCACAAAATATATGTTGGTTTGTTATTTTACACTGCACTCAGCAATATTCCAACTATATCACAGCAGTCTGTAAATAATCAATTCTGGACCAGACAATCCAGTGATTGACATCATGAGCATCAATCTGATGTACACAATAATGATACGATGACATGTGTCAACCAAGTCAGCGAACCTGACCACCCTCTCCCGTTAGTCGCCTCTTACAACAAGCATGGGTTACTGAAGACCAACTCCAACCTGAGTTCTACATGTTTCACCTACAAAATATTCGCCAACTGCATAATATAGTGAGCATATACCCTGATGATGCAATCTAGCTGTTTTGCTCATCTTTATCATTGACTGTCTTCTATTAGAATGTCATCAGTGTCCCCATTTAAGGACATAATTCTTTCTATGTCATATGCAATAAACCCGTATAAGATATAACTACATCTTCAGAAAATACTTAGTCCCATGCATGTATGTCTATATACAATACAGCAAGTCTACGATCTTGTGGTTTTAGATTAAAACAGACATGTCCAAATATGTGCAACATCCAGCCATGATATATGAACAATTTTTCAACTGATCTCCAGTTTTCAACTAATAAGACTCAGTCAACACACATTCCTGAATAAATGTATATTTATCATGTATGATATCCTATTACCACAAGATCCATCCTCGACCATCAAGGGTGATATATTCCATTTCATGATGACACATATGGTGATGGGGATGAAACTGTATTCATTAATTTATTCTGGCCTGGCCATCGCTAACACAGCTTTTCCCTGGGTACTGCTGCAGGGGATGTTGGACAAGATGTAGATGGTTGATTAATCGTGGAGTTTTGCTGCATCTCATTCATGGAAATGTGAAGTTGTCATTCAAGATATTTCATCACTTCATAGAAAACTAACATAGAAAACTAACAACCATAAACTTTGACCAAAAAACAAGGTCCAATGGATCCTTACGTACCAATTTCAACGGTCCATATAGGATATATATGAGGGTCCAGTAAAGTAACGAAATGACCTTGTGTAGTGAACCGTAAAATTTATTTAGCTATTATTTTAATCAAAGGAACCTTATATTTTTTTGTCAAGAAATTGGTAAAATGAATATTATTGTGCATCCCTCGGACACAATATATATTTATTCTACGTCCATTGTGTATGTGCAGACTGGACATTTCTGCATCAAGTAAAACCTACATATCATATTTGTCATGGCCTGATGTCACTCCTTCCCTACAGTCTACTCTAAGAAGGAAGATTTTCTAACGATGCATTGTAAACCATATCAGTGTTTGTACTTGAACATGTCAGATAAACAAACAATGACACTGACACCAGGTGTCAACTTCATGGCAGCTTGACCGACCCAAAGGATAACACAAACATACAGGTCACTCTACTATCTGAAGTATTGTCAGTCAGTTCTCTCAGTCAATTTTCTTTTCTTCTTCTGTTTTAGGATACTGGATTTCACCTGCAAAGAATAATTACCAGACAGTTACCAAGTTATCTACACTGATGTCTTCAAATCTAATATGAACCATAAAATCAGGGGCTTAGCTGCCATTGTATGAAAAGCCCGGCTTACACACACGATTGTTGCTGAAAAGGTTGGGCAAGCCGTCAATACTATCTAAATATATAGCTTTGCAACCTATCAGGCTTACACGAAAAAATTGGCTTGCTACACGCCTGAAAATTTATTACAATCCATAAAGATTTTAAGCCACATACAAATATCTTTACACAGTTCATTGTTTGGTAAAAAAAACACACAAAAGGGATGCTTTGGACCAGTGATAGCCTAGTGATTAAAGCATTGGCTTGTCATGTCAAAAACCTGTGTTTGATCACCCCATGGGTACAATGTGTGAAGACCATTTCTGATGTCCCCCATTTATTGCTGGAAGATTGCTAAAAGCGGTCTAAAACTTAACTCACTCACTCACTGGAGCAGTGGAGCAGAGCACTTGGAAAGTTTCATAACTTATTTGGGCCAACTTACCTGAAATGCTCTCAACACAACCGTCCCTACCTGTATTCTTATCACTTCTATTGTGTTTACACTTCTGATTCAGCCTAGTGGTTAAGACATGAGTTCAATGCCACCCATGATGCTGGAATATTGCTAATAGCAGCATAAGACCATACTCTCTCACTCTGATGCTGCCTGGCACTCACCTACTCCCTCTTCCTCCAGCATATAGTCCTCCTCATCATCGTCCTCATCCTCGGCCATCTCATCGTCAATGGGCTCCATGCAGCACAGACTGTAGCAGACCACGCTGATGATGATGGTGGGCAGGCCAAACATCAGCAGGAACAGCCAGCGGGACGCCTGCCAGATGCTCTGGGGGTACACAGGGAATATGTCATTGCTTTCCCAAGTCAGAAATTACCAATTTGTCACCACAGTCAAGGTATGAATACCTCCGAGTTCCATAATTATATGAAAGCAGATTCCATTGTGTGTACAGGGGAGGAACCAGTGTGTGCGTCTGTGTGCCTGTGCGTGTGTGCGTGTGTGCATGCGTGCAAGCGCAAGTGCACCACCTCAAAATAACTTCCCTGAGGAACATTTCCCTTTAACCTTTGGACTTCATCATTTCTGTGCACCCCCCTTCTCCAAAATCCTGGATCCACCCCTTTTGTATCTGATGAATCATTAGTGTATGTTTAAGAATCACTATCAGATAGTGACAATGCCAGGTGTTTGCCAAAGGATGAACGTATCCTGCCTTTTGAGCAGCACCCATCACAAACACATGCACAGGCAAGTCAATACTCATGTGAACAAACACAAGTCCACAAGATTCCACATAGGGACTTTAGACAGCATCTTGGTTACTGATGCAACAAATTTAACATACATAACAATGTGGAAACAGTTACTGTGTGCAAGGAAGAAAGCAGGAATCATTTCAAAGTTCAAGTGCATCACACACATAAACCAGGGCTGAGTTACGAGTTCTCACTCTTGGAATAGTTAAAAAACGTCATGTGACATGTGAAACTGTCCATACTCACCACAACTGTAGACACCAGGTCATAGCCGAGTCTCAGGAGTCTCTGTAGAAAGCCAGTCCCTCCAGATCCCTGCAACAACATACACAACGTCCAGTCAGTAACTAACTGATTCAGACATCGACCAGGTGTCAGCCTGCTGGACCATAACATTATGTTGAGTGAGTGAGTGAGTTTAGTTTTACGCCCGCTCCAGCAATATTCCAGCTATATGGCAGCAGTCTGTAAATAATTGAGTCTGGACTAGATAATCCAGTGATCAACAGCATGAGCATCGATCTGCGCAATTGGGAACCGATGACATGTGTCAACCAAGTCAGCGAGCCTGACCTGCCGATCCCGTTAGTCAGCCTTTTCACGACAAGCATAGTAGCCTTTTATGACAAGAATGGGTTGCTGAAGACCTATTCTACCCCAGATCTTCATGGGTCACTTAGATGTTGAAATTATCATGGATTATGTTTGGTCATCTACAAACATCTGGTCTATATGTAGATCCCTCTCACTCAGGTTTACAACTATTCCATGTGTTCAGGTAACAGGAAGAAGGTGAGTCTAAATGTGTACTAGTGGACTCAAAGACAATATCATGGATTCTATAGATTATCCTTTCAGATGAAAATATGTTTGATTACTGTGTATCCCTCCCTCCCTCTCTCCTTCCTTCAGTCCCTCCCTATCTCCCTCTTCCTTTCTTCCCACTGCCATTCCTCTCTCCCTCTCTCATTTCTTTCTCCTTTGTCCCTTATTATTTCCCTCTATCCTTGCCTTCCTCTCTCATTCACTCATTCCCTCCATTCCTCCTCCCTATGTCTCTGTGTCCACCTCAGCAAACCTGACCACCTGATCCACAAATTGACCCATAGTTCCATTAATCAAACAGAGATGTCACATTTAAATACCTCAATTTTTCCATCCTCCACATCCTGGAGGAACTGCTTGAAAGAAGCTACTGTGAAGTCTGTTACACTGGACTCTGGGAAGTAGTGCATGTGCTTCTCAGGGTCAAGGACAAAGACGGTGGGCGTGCTGAGGAAGGACATGGTGATGGTGTTGGCGGTGTCCACGCTGCTCATCCACAGAAACTGGTACTTGCTGGATCATACAAGAACATGGTGAGCCAGTGAGTGAGTTTAGTTTTACGCTGCACTCAGCAATATTCCAGGTACATGAACATGGTGGCGGTCTGTAAATAATCAAGTCTGGACCAGACAATCCAATGATCAACAGCATGAGCGCTGATCTACTTAATTGAGATAATGATGACACAAGTACATGGGAAAACGGTTAATGGGAAATAATGTAGAACAACATCAAAATATGCTGCATAGATTCTGCACTTTAATTGGACGAAATGTTATACACAAAGACTTAAAGTACAAATATAACAATTTTATCCTTTAAGAATTTACATATTACTGGGAATCCTGTAAAATATTTCTCAGAATATGAGAAAAAAATAATTTTAACTTTATGTTTGTCCATTTGTTAATTATGGGAACTAGAATGTGAGCAATATATATGATGAATTTGACAGAGTAATTTGAAATAATTAAGTTATTAAGATGAATGTTTGTCTTACCTGTGCAGGTGCCCTCGGGGCTCTGTGGCAATCTGCTGTGCTATACTTTTATTCTGAAAGGTAAAAGCTACAGTTAATCTACAGCATTCCATGTCAAACAGTTCGGACACTTAGAACAGTAAAATACAATAACTGCTTCAACATACCATGACATACATGGAAGTATATGATTGAAGTAATGAATGCATGTTCGCAGTAGTAGTTGATTTTTTTTGGTTATTCTTTAGCAACAATATTAATAATATTCAAGCTGAATGGCAGCAGTCTGTAAATAATCAAGTCTGGACCAGACAATCCAGTGATCAACAGCATGAGCGTTGACCTGGATCTTCATGGGTTATAGAAGCTGATAGTAGCTAACAGTATACAAGATATTGACCTGTCAGACATTACTTGGATACTTGAGAGTTGATGGCCCCTATGTCCAGTACAAAATATCCATTGTAAATTGCATATCATCATCATCATCATCATCATCATCATCATCATCATCATCATGCACAAAGTGCACATCCGATAGCATGCTCAACAAGTCATTATTAACCCCTCAGTTGGTCCAGAGTGGACTCAAATTCACTCTCAGCTCCATGGGGAAAATGACCCTCTTGAAATTTCACAGTTACATAAACATCTATACACAACATACAGACATTAGTAAATGGACATACAAGTGTAAATATGTTTATCAGATTTAAGAGGTGAGGTGAGGTGATATTGGGTTTAAAGTCGGCTTGAGAATATTTCGCTCATATGACGATGTGCATGGGTGTGTATGTGTATGTGCCACTGCTTGTACTAGCCCAGACTTAAGCTGGTTTTATAGTGCTAGCCCACTGAGATACCATGCCGCAGTGAAGCATGAATACCCCACTACATTATACTGACTCCAAGCCAACCAGTCCTTGTTGTACCCACTAATGCCGAGCCCCAGGCAGGGACCAACAAGTACCATATTTTAACATCTTTTGGTATGACGCGGTCGGGGATCGAACTCGCGACCTTCTGCTCTCCTCGGTGGAAGCTCTAACCACTACACCACGGAGGCGGGGTCTCAGATTTAAGAGACTGCAGTGAGTGAGTGAGTGTTGCGTCGTTTTGGCAATATTCCAGCAATATCATGGTGAGGGACACCCGAAATGGGCTTCATATGTTGTACCCATGTGGGGAATCGAACCCAGGTCTTCGACGTGATGAGCAAACACTTTAACCACTAGGCTACCCTACCGCCCCTTAAGGGACTGTAAACAGTCAACAGCCATGATGGCCATGCTATCCTCACAACCAGCTTTATTGGGACCTACCCAGACAGACAACCAGTAGATGGGGATTCAGCCAAAATACACCATCTTGTGTTCACATTTCAATACAGCTGCTGTTGGAATTTCTCCAAAGAGAAAGTTGTTTGTCAAAAATGTTCAAAATACCAGAAATCATTTACCCATTCAGTCAGTAGGAGGAGGATTTTATGAATGTTTCCATGATTTCAGAGAAAAGATCATTTGAACTGACAAAGAAAGATAACTCCTCCAGGACTAAAGATGCATCAAACCACTATTTTATAACACTTCCACTTGTACTTCATTAGTGACATTGCTACATAACTCTTGCTGTTAGTTTGTTTATATGTTTGTTTTTAATACTCCAATCCACAATATTTGAGCTACATTACTGTAAATAATTAAATCAGAACCAAAGAATCCAGACATAGACACAATGAGCATCAATCTACCATCTGAACCCATAAGTTACTTTTAGAACAAGCAGGGGTTGCTGAAGAGCAATTCTCACCTGGATCTTCACAGGTATGTTTTAACAAAATTATTGAATGTGCATCAAAAACTACATTTACTGAACATATTACATGGCAAACACAAACAATTACTATCAGCCAAATCTCAGAGTCTAACCCATACAGGTACAATCCATATGCACCACCTTTTTGTCCAGCCAAGCTTCAAATATTTTTCTCTGAACCCCAATCCCATTTAAAAGTCCAGATCAATGATAAAACAATTCACCACCTGTGACTCAAACTTGCTCAAAATATTCATTTCTCTTCTTCAAAGCCTTATTAACACCTTCAGGATCATTGTTATCCACAAACATATTCAGCATATTGGTAAAATCTAGTTAGGCACCTACATTTGCTTACAATCACCCTTCTATTCTAAATGCAAGAAATTTGAGGCCTAAACTCTGCAAATCCTGGATGCACTTAACTTGAATAGAGTTGTCTTGAATGCAGTATCTAATATTTGTCGTCAGCACATAGTATCAATCTCCACATTGTTTCATCATGTGAGCAGAATGTACAAACAAACTACACATCGACAGGGCTATCCACACAGTTCACCAAACCACAGTCCAATGAAATATTAACTATAATAAGGCAATGTATATTAACATTAACAATTACATGTATACAGACAAATAGAAGGAACCTAATGTCACTAAATAGTTTAATTTGGGCATTATCTATTGAATACAGGTGTCTCTCGTGTCTGAATTAAGTTCAGTCATGTGTATCTGATTTGTTGTCTAATCTGCCAGCACCTGAACAAGCAGACGTAATTACAAGATCACGTCTGGAAGTGTAGTGGTGTTTACTTCAGACATGGATGAAACTGATGCCTCTCTCTGTATGCCAGAAAGTGGCAATAAGATGGACAGTGGTAATACATTTACATCTGACTTCAGTGAAACTGAAGCAGCAAGGAATTTGAGGGGTAATCCCTACCGGATATATTTCTCCTTCAATGAAAACCAAATGTTGTTATCAGTGCTACGTGCTTAGTTCATCTCTGGCTATCAGCAAAAAACTGTTGTTTTACCCAAAATGGAATCTTTCACATTTTAGGAATATTTGCACTGGAATGTCACAACCTTAGATGTGTTACTGTGGAATGGGACATTTACTCTCGAATGAATGAATCCTATTTTCCATCTTCTCATTCATCCAAACCATCCAAAACCATCCATCCATTATCCATTTTCTGTCCATCCTACCTTCCAGCATCCATTATCCATCACCCATCCATCCAGGAACCCTCCCATTCGCCAGTCTATCCCTCTATCCTTCCACAATGGTTTCATATCAACTCTCCTTTCTTCCATCCATTCATCCATCGATGTGCTCTTTCATCCCTTCATCTAGCATCCAATTATCCTCATATATCAAACACACACTACAAGTCATCATCTATTCATCGATCCATCTATAATCCATCTGTCTACAAATCAAGAAATGCAACAAAATCATCTGCACCATTCAGCACATCTAATTTCACAATCTTCATCACTCATACACAAGATATTCGACATATTAAGTCAATTCAACAACTCATAATTCAAATATTTACATATTCATTTTTCAATCCCATTCCTCAACAAAGACAGGAGTAGTCAATAACACTTTACACCGAAATAACCACAAACATCTCCCGAGTGTCGCCCAACACCCACACCACATGTGTCTGATTATCTTTATGGAGTGTGTAGACGAACTGTATGACTGCCGATCCCTGCTTCCAGCCGGTAGATATGGTAATGTACCCTAGGGAATAACTGGCTTATATCACAGCTTTATCATATAAACAGTGTTAATAAAGAGCCTGTAGCCACCCTTCAACCTCTTGTAATCACTGATAGGTGTCACTTCTGACACTGGTGCTGACTGGTGCAAAGATACTGTCAACATTACATGTACATTTTAGGATCTTTGTCTATAATGATGATCAATAAAACTTCAATTGATCAGAAATCAGATCAGGAAAGGACAGACAGTAAGATCTTAGTTGAACTCATCCCACCGATATAACACTGTTATTCCTTGTATCCATATTCCCCTTCAGATTTTGTTTTGTGTGCGAGGTAGGTAATTAGGTCCTTTCACAGGCCAATTCAATTGTTGATGCGATGTTTAGTTTGATGAAAATGATGCAGTGTACTTTGGTATACTTTCTCATAACCTGAAGGTGAGGTGAGGTGAGGTGAAATTGGGTTTTACGGCGTACTTGAGAACATTTCGCTCATATGACGACATGCATGCGTGTGTATGTGTATGTGCGGCTGCTTGTACTAGCCCAGACTTAAGCTGGTTTTATAGTGCTAGCCCACTGAGATACCATGCCGCAGTGAAGCATGAATATCCCACTCAGACACATTATACTGACTCCGAACCGACCAGTCCTTGTTGTACCCATTAATGCCGAGCGCCAGGCAGGGACCAACAAGTACCATATTTTAACTTTTGGTATGACGCGGTCGGGATCAAACCCGTGCCCTTCCGCTCTTTGGCGGACGCTCTAACCACTACACCACGGAGGTGGTCCATAACCTGAAGATTCAGAACCAATGTTATCAGAATAGTAAAGAAAGCTTTGACCGATCTGCCATAATATATGATAAGTTGACAATATGGCTGTCGACGATGAATTTGATTTCATTTTGGGTTGTCCTTACTATAATATTAGCAGAAATAATTCATTCCAAAATATTTTCATCACTACCCTTCCCGAGAAAAACTACAACAACTTATGTCTTCAACAAATGTTGATATTTTATAGGGACTCGCATTGTATTTGAAAAGAAATCTTTATGCAAAATGATCCCCATATTTTTGCATTAACACGATTTCATGTGTTATATAAACTGAATTATCATTTCTTGTACAATATAACCATTTCTACATGTCTATAATGTATTAAGCATTCCACACAGACATTTGTATTTTAACACAGTTTGTAATCTGGGCCACGCCGCCTCCAATACTGAATAAAGACTTTAAGACTTCCAGCAGTGTATGACTGGTGCATGATGCAACATGATGATATCATTGAAATGAGACTTGCTGCTGAAGCTGGTGGATGTCTGCATTTAAAAACATTATTTTTAAAATCTAATTAATGATGTAATTTTTCTTCACCTCCATGGAAAGAAAGCACAATTATTTTCAAAATTTGATGAACAAAGTAATTTTTCTCCACCTACAAGGACAGTCCACTGACTTTTTCAGGGTATTGAAGCCTCTTTTTATTAATATATGCATCTCTTCAGCCTTTCATATACAAGTTTATGAGACACCTTTCAGCCTTTTAGATACTGCCGGGTAAGCAAAGGAACCTGATCAAGCTTGAAATACATACAAACCAATAAGCATGTGGCAAACTTGGGGGCAAACTAAGAATCCATTCATGGAGGTCCTTTACAACAAGCATGGGGGCAAACTGAGGATCCATTCTGTCCTTTACAACAAGCATGGGGGCAAACTGAGGATCCATTCTGTCCCTTACAACAAGCATGGGGGCAAACTGAGGATCCATTCTGTCCCTTACAACAAGCATGGGGGCAAACTGAGGATCAATTCTGTCCCTTACAACAAGCATGGGGGCAAACAAAGGATCCATTCTGTCCCTACAACAAGCATGGGGGCAAAAAAGCATTCTGTCCCTTACAACAAGCATGGGGCAAACTGAAGATCGATTCTGTCCCTTACAACAAGCATGGGGGCAAACTGAAGATCAATTCTGTCCCTTACAACAAGCAGGGGCAGGGGCAAACTGAGGATCCATTCTGTCCCTTACAACAAAAGCATGGGGGGGCAAACTGAAGATCCATTCTGTCCCTTACAACAAGCATGGGGGCAAACTGAAGATCCATTCTGTCCCTTACAACAAGCATGGGGGCAAACTGAAGATCCATTCTGTCCCTTACAACAAGCATGGGGGCAAACTGAAGATCAATTCTGTCCCTTACAACAAGCATGGGGGCAAACTAAGGATCCATTCTGTCCCTTACAACAAGCATGGGGGCAAACTGAAGATCAATTCTGTCCCTTACAACAAGCATGGGGCAAACTGAAGATCCATTCTGTCCCTTACAACAAGCATGGGGCAAACTGAAGATCCATTCTGTCCCTTACAACAAGCATGGGGGCAAACTGAAGATCAATTCTGTCCCTTACAACAAGCATGGGGGCAAACAAAGGATCCATTCTGTCCCTTACAACAAGCATGGGGGCAAACTGAGGATATCTTGGTTGTCATTAACCTCTTTTGCCTTTCCAAACCAACATAGCATCGAAGGAAACAGTCAGCCTTTCAAACTGTCACTCCCATAGGAAGAAGAATGTGGTACTCTTGGTGATGTCTCCAAGAAACATCAACAGTATCATCCACACACTACTAATGATATACAAAATATATCAAAAAGTTTCATCATAACCCAAAACCATGCTCTGGTCACTTCACAGTACTACCTGAAGACATCTGGAAATCTGACACCTTGATATCATCTCCAGATGAAACTGAGAGGGACAAAAGAGTTAACCCAAGAGCTATCACCCCATCACATGTAACCCAACCTCTAGCCACAACATTGGTTTCATTCAACTCTTCTGTTTCATCTTATTCTTCATCAAGCAAGACCATGACCTAAATGAACACTCACAACATCAATAAGTGACAATTAATGCAATCTTAATTCAGATGAAATCTGTTTCACAATTTTCAATCAGTGTTTGCCTCAACTGATAAAGCCACACTTTTCGCATCTATAATTTGTTCATCTTTAACTGATAATTAGCACTTAAAAATGAAAAAAAAACACCAAAAATGATTATGTTGCTGATCATTTTCATAATACTTAGCATAAAGTAGTTCAAATTGACAAATTGGAAAAACAAAATTCAATTTCTGCCCATACTGCAAGAGGATAATTCAAAAATACAACATGACAATGAAAAACAATATTCCCTCTTGACATTCCTAAGAAACACACGATCATGAAACATACAGTGAACTTTACCTTAAGCGGAGATTTCTATTGATTATGGAAATGTTTTTTATCCTTTTTATTTATCAAGTAAATTATATCGACTATTTCAAATTAACCTTATGCTTGCTTTTTCATAGTTTTACTTTTTAACCAAAAAGTAGGATGGGCAAGAAAAATTCAATTGAAACTACTTTTCTTTAATTTTAAGATTGTGTCTTTTAAAGCTCCAGTTGGTTGAATCCATTAAACGAAAAAATTAAAAAGTGTTGCCTGATGTCAAGGCTAACCATGAATATGAAAGTCATGCTAAAGATGCAGAGTCAGCAAAATGACAAATTCCAGTTCAACTTTCTTGAAGTCCCTTGTGAAATGATCTGCCTCGTTTGTTCCACCATTCAGCACACAGATGAGCAAAACAACTGCACCAAAGAACCTCATGTTGTTTTTAACCGTCTAATTGGCTGAATATTGCCGTCCTTTCTTTATTTACATGTGGAAAAAATATTTTTCAGTTTTTTTCAAGGATTTTCAAGTTTTTAAGGCTACCAAATTCTGTTTTTAACGATTAAATTTTAAGAAACTACTTCTTCCATGAACTTTCATGAACTACTTATCGTGAACGAAACACTTTCATATGTATATACATATATAAGCATATTACACAAAGCTTGTGAAGAATCACCACTTTAAAGGGTAATTTGTCAACTTGTGTGTCATAGAAAATATTGAGCAAGTAGAAATATTGGGTTTCCACTATTTTAAGTTTGTTATTATTGTAGTTCGCTATATGCATTTTATCTAACATATACAGCAAGCGTCTGGGCCTGAAAAACAGTCTGTTATTTCCATCATTTTGTTTCAATCATGTCAGATATATATATAGTTTACTGTAAGTATCCCTTCTGCTTTGGGCATGAAGTAAGGTTGGAGGGCCTCAAATCGCCCCATCATGATGGTATAGGTACAGCCTGTCTTAACTAAACCGTCGCTTTCAGAAACTTCAATTGGCAAGGTAAAATTATGAGGATTCGCAATCTTAAGTTCACTTTATTTGATTTACTTTTTCGTTTAAAGTGAAATTTATGGGTACGTTTTCACTGCAAACAGACTGTAGTTATTGTCAATAATCAGTAAAAAGGGGGAAATATATGGATGTCAGCTTCGTAGAGTGAGGAACGTTTCAGAGTATATTCTTACTACTTCATCCTTGACATCCATTTATAAACTTCCAGTGACGTCACTCTATTGTCTCGCCAGATTCTCGTTTGAGAAAACCTCTACAGGCAGTTTAGCAGGCATTCTTCAACAAATCCCAGGTGTTTTCTACAGAACTGCCTGCATCCCCAGGATTTATTACAGAACTGCCCGCATACCGAGGATTTTCTGAGGAATAGCCCTTGAATTTGAACTATTTTACTTGTTTTGAAGATTGATATGACTGAATATGATCGTAAAATATCACATTATTGAAAACATCCATCATATAGTGCCGATGTCTGGTTTCGAACCTGCACTTCTTCGCTTACTTACTTTTACCCACTAGGCTACGAAGGATCGCTGTGAAGAATAAGATTGTTTGTCAGTATGAACCATGTGTTCCTCAGAAGACAGGTACTGCAGGCAGCACACATGCAGGACACGGGTAGCACGTGCAAGGCAAGGTATCGGCTGCCAGTCTCATCCCAGTTGATTTCAACAGTAAATAACAAATTATATCTAAACTATATATATTCGGTCGGTTCATAAGTTGGATTAAAACCACATATTTCCCTTTATCATTTCTAAATGCCATTCAAAAATCAATATCTTCTTTGAGTGGCATTTAAGAGTTGAGATGTACAACTAGCAAACTTTATGGATAGAAACTTCTTTTATTTTGTGGGTGCGACGTTTCAATACAGATTCTTGTACCCTGACAATGGTTTGACAACAATATAAATGTCAAAATGTTGCACTCGCGAAATAAAAGAAATTGTCATCCATAAATTTTGTCAATAAAAATTGATATGTTATTTGATATGGTGTGACAGATAACTGTGTTCATTATTCACTGGGGCAGTTGGGTAGCCAAGTGTGTGCTTGTCACACTGAAAACCTGGGTTCAATTACCCACATGGGTACAATGTGTGAAGCCCTGATTTCTGGTGTCCCTCGCTCACTCACTCACTCACTCACTCATTACTCATTCACTTCACATGTTTAAACAGGAAACAGATACTTCTGTTGACACTGGACATCAAGCTGACTAAACTGTCAGGAGACTCCAGCCTCATGTTTGATGATTTGTTAGTGTTTTTCATTCAGATTTCTAATGATCGGATACTGCTGGGCAAGCAGCTTTCATATTATATTTAGTTGACAGCAAGTAGGATTTAAAAAATGTTGATATTGTATTTAGTTGACTGTAAGTAGAATTTAGAAATGATGACATTTTATTTAGTTGACTGCAAGTAGAATTTTTTTTTAATTATTCTCGACAGGAATTGTCCCCAGAATCCAACGCTCTCTCCCACACGCAGTGGATATGATAATCTATTTATACACACCTCGTGTCAACATATAAATAGTGATTCACAAACACATGCACAGGTGTCAGAATCGTACAATTGTCTCTGTGGTTTGCAGAGACACCTTAGAATATGGAAAGTGTTTTGACACTATAATTGTGTAAGTCAACAAAGTTAGTCTTAGGGTAAGCTCTATCTATCCCTTGGTAGACTGCATGTCCCCATTCAGTGATGGAATGGATCATTTCTGTTGTCTGGTTGGTCTAATATTGCTGACCACAACATAAAACAATGTAATAAGGAAACATACAACTGCTGGATGACAACTTCTTGTTAATTAACTGCATACAGTGATGTTTCGATTTAGATTCTTACACTTTTAGTGTCACTTAAAGCTTGATAATGATGCAAGTCACTCAAACCTTGATAACAGGGTAAGAATCTAGACCGAAAAGTCGCTCTATGCAATAAACTAGAAATTTTATCCATAAAGTCGTATGCTCCATTATTGACTCACCAACTTCTAGACTGCCGATTAATGTTTGCATATCTTACTAATTGGCAAATGGACACGAACTTCATATTTAAACTCAAACCTAGTTTCACTTATTTTTAAAACATTTGCTATTTATACCAGCGTACATGTAAGCTGGAGCCATTGGTGTTTGATTTGATAACATAATCGTTAGTTTCTCATTACAAGGCCTTGCTAATTGTTTACTCATCTGTGCGCAGTCTGTAGAGATTCATTGCAACAACTTGCCATATTGTAGCTGAGATGCTGGACATTTTAACTTTCCAAGCTGTACAAACAACATAAACAATTCCAAAAGTTGACATTAAATGTTCAAAACAAAACATTGTCAAAACAAATGTGTTGAAAAATATCGTTAGAGGTTCGGTATTATGTGGAAACAATGATTGTAATATGTGTCCTGCAAGTGGTACGTTCCTCTGAGCCACGTGTAACTTAATCACCATTTGAGACAAACCACATTTTATAAATAACTGTTTAAACCTCCCTATGCGGTAGTTATGTTTTAGACAGACTTGTACGATCAACAAGTTTTGTTTGTTTGTTATTTACTGCTGTAGTCAGCAATATTCCAGTTCTTCCGACAGGCTGGAAATAATACGAGGCAAAACCGTTGATTAGGCTGACATCCTCGTCATCTGGGTACAGGGACACACAAACAACCGAGTCAAGTCTGACCACCATATCAGTTTAGTCAATCCTTTTTTAACCTCAAGATGCAGTGGGCAATGTATAAAATAGTTTTGAAATATGGCCTGTCCAAGGACTGGCTGTCCAAACAGGTGACCAGTCCTGAACAAACACAGCCAGTCCCAAAAACTAAAACAGTGAAAAAATAATAGATAAGACAAAGTTCAAACCAAGTTGAGTTTATTTTTTCAAATATTTTCCCCGACCATAGGACAGCCTTACTTATTTAATACACTGTCCTTCACAATAATAGACCGTCAAGGACAGTGGGACGGGCTATGTTTTATACACTGCAGTGGGGTAGCCTAGTGGTTAAAGTGTTCACTAATCACGCCAAAGACCCAGGTTCGATTCCTCACATGGGTACAATGTGTAGAGCCCATTGCTCATGTCCTCTGAGAGTGATGGAATATTGCTGAAAGTGGTGTAAAGCTAAACTCACTCACTCACTCCTAATCACAAGCAAATGTTACACTTTTCTTTACTTATAAGCAATATATAAATCTCTGTGCTTGTGTACAGCAAGTGTTTATAATTAAAGAACCACTAAAACTTTGTTTATAACTCTTTAACCATTACATATGAAAGATTTGTGGTTGGTCTTATGCGGGAACACCAAATTTATTCTTTAAAACTTGTGGTTAATTAATACCGGCGATTAAAAGTGGCCAAAAGTCGCTTCGCTTCCTCACCGCCAACGAAAACCACAGACAGGTTACGTAACTCTGTCGCCAGAGCACTGCAGTGCGTCATATGAGGAACGATTTTCAGTTAGTTGTATAGAAAGTGTGTAGCACGCTCATCATTTTGATGATTTCTCGACATGAACACTTTTACATGCCAAATCGCTGCTTTGTCGCCAATTGCTCCTAAGGGGTCGGGTGATGGTGTCACCATGCACAGATTTCCACAGGATCCCCGTTAGTTCGTGCTAAATGGGTTATGTTTGTGAGTGCGGCTGAAGCGTTGTGGAAGCCTGAAACGATATCTTACTTGTGTTCAGATCGCTTCACGGAAGTTAAAGAATCAAAACTACTTACTAGTTATAGTAAAATATGTATATGATTGATGACCATAAATATTTTCCATAACACAACTTGTAACATAACGATTTCTTCCTCGAAGTGAGGTTGTGGTCGAAGTAACAATAATATTGTAAGTAGTATTATATTGACACCCACCTCACTGCCAGGAGAGAAATTGTTATGTTATTATCGCTATGTCATGCAAAATCCTATTGGCCATCAATAAAATATATATTTTACTACCAGTAGAAAGTAGTTTTGATTTTGTAACTCAGTGAAAACAAACCTAAATACCATTTATCCACAGACTGGCTGGATGTTCCCGACAGGGCCGCCATTTTAAAATCGTGAAAGTCTGTTAGAATTAATGAGATTATAGTTTGTTTTCATCAAGTTAGAAAATCAAAACTACTTTCTACTCGTAGTTAAATATGTATTGGAATCATAACCAAAAAGGATTTTGCATGACACAACTTATAACATAACGATTTCTTCCATGGAAGCAGGTGGGGGTCGAAGTCACAATACTGCGCCGATAAATTTCTTGCTACATTCACATGGTTAATGTCCACTCACCAGTATGTAGATACTAGTCAATGTGCGCCTTTATATTTGGTCTTATAATCCTAATTAGTTTATTATCATACTTGTATGCATTTTGAAACTAAATAAAAAGCTGACGATCTGCTGATACTTATAGTGAATTTATAACAGAACTGTAATATCTAGACATTTTATAGTTTGCCAATGTGAATCATAATTCGCGACACACACCCTAGTGTATGTTGTCTGTCTCATTACACTTCACGCTTAAAACAATGATTCTGTTGAATGCTACGACAAATGAATAAAACAAAATGCAAATATTAAAATTAAAACAGATTAAAGTTATAGGAACAATATCAGGCCATTACCTTGTTTAAGGAATGTATCCATCAATATCCACAAAACTGTTCCAAATGATGTGTCTTTTAACAGTTTAATATACGAAAAAGTGATAAATCTTTTCAGGTATTGGTGTATAGTCTCATTGGTCACCCAAGATAGCACACCTGGCAACTAATTGCATAATGTCCGCCTTTCATTAAAAACAGTAATTTAGTTAGCCAATAATGGGCAATCAATCAATGTATTGCCGGGTTAATCTTTGAAAGAAGGACGTTTTTTTTACGCAGACACCGACATTAATGGCAGAGTGTATTCAGTATAGATTAGTAAATCTACATACATAAACACTACCTTTGACAAACTGGGCTGTGTAAGATAAAAGTAATTAATCAATCAGCGTGTTATCGGTTAATCCTTTGATCGATGTTTATAATGTTGAATATTTACTCCAGACACAAGAAATGCCAAATGGGAACCTTTGTCGGTAATCTAAGTGTGTTACCACTAATTATACCTGTTATAAATTCATTAACTGACCATCAAGTGAATGATGACAAATAACATGTGTAGGTTTATACCACCTAACACGGGTTACAACAAGGGAGTATTAATTGCTGTATTGCATGTGAAAACTTATGGGCCGACACTGTTTTGAGAATACAAACAGATTTTACATGACATGATTAAATATCGAGGTAAAAAACACAGAAATGGGATCAATTTGATCAGTCATTATACAAATAGGGCCTAACGACACCAATCAATTGTGACAGAAGCGCCTATGAAAACAAGTTGTAACTCGAAACTAGGCAAAGCAGGAGACAAAATTAAATGCCAGTAGATTGTGAGAACATATAGCTTCATTTTCCACAACAATTGTCACGATTTCAGGTTTATACAAGCCTGTAAACACGATAATTTACCCCTAAAATGTAGATGAATTCTGCATCGGCCCTCAAAGCTATTCCCTCATATGACGCCACAGAGTCGCTACCGCCTGATTGGTTGAAATTTCGCTCATGGGTGAGAATTGTGCACTGTTGTCAAAAAGGTCGATTTAAGTCAATTAAAGGTCGAAATGAGTAGTTTTAATGACGGGTTTCATTTATAACGATGCCAGGTAGTGATTTATGTATTTTTACCCCTAGGGTTTATGTGACCTTTAACATATAAGTAGTAGTATGATGGGGGTTCTGCAGCAGTTTGTGTTGTTAGCGTGATTTGTGTCTGAATCTGCTCCCAACGATGATAAAAAATGGGTGTGTTGTCTGTGTGACCATCGTTGGATGCGTCCTTGTTTTAAACGTAGCTGAGCTGAGTACGGAGCCTTAAAATAAACCAGCTCGCCAGCTTAGCCATGTTAAATTCGCTGTGTGTCTGACAGGGGGTCCCGGCAGCGTAATGGTAGAGTGCTGGACTGACAATACCAGCCGTTCGAGTCGGGCTAGCGTCGGAAACTTTTGCAAGCAGAGTGAGGTTTGTAGGTCACGCCAGCGCTCATGTATGAGCGTTCTAGATACCCTATGCTGGGTATGTCCTATGCTGGTTGCCATGAGTGTAGTGTCTATCCTGTCGAGGACAATCGTTGCCCTATGGTATTTTTTGTGTAATCCGATCCGCACATCGCGTTCTAGTTCCAGTTGGCGTCGGATCTCGCTGATTTGTCGCAAACGAAATCCGTCCACGGTTTTTGAGCGTTTGGGCCACTTCGTCCATGGACGGATACAATCCCATCTCGAGTATAAAATTAAGTTAGGAAATAAGCTTCCTCCGACAATTGGTCCTCTGACAATCTTTGATGAATATACCTAAGGCTGATTAGGTTTATATGTCCGGATAAATAAATGTGTTCGAGTGAAATGACAGACTCTTCAATATCAATGACCCCCTCGAGGTTTGTAATGGTGTTTGTTCCTGGTTGTACATAAATATGACAACGTTTATTTTGATGTCGAACATGCCAACGTATTTTTAACCCATCCAGAAGTTTCACATCTTCTGAGGGGTAACTTCCAAGCAAGAGTTCAACAATAAGTGTAGAGCCTGGTATAGTCCTGACCGACGCACTTTCGAAAACATACAATTCACTAAATTGCAAACTTAACTGGTTATATTTGTTTTCCGGTTTGGTGGTTAACATATTGCCACTCATGTCTGGCATTATTGTTACATACGTCGTCTTTTGTGGAGCCTCAAACCTCCCCAGTAGAAGTCCATTATTTTTCTAGTTCGATGACATTACCAACATCATCCATGACAAGATAGGGGTAGGTAAGGACAAGATTGATGATCCAGTTCAATTGAGATTCGATGATCACTTCTCGTCGTTTGTACACATTGTTTGGTGAGTGCAATACGTATAAGGCATTTTCCGTACCGGGTTGATCGAATCCTTGCATGTCCCCGAGATCGGAGAACGTGATGGTAGCGTGTAGACTCAGGTTTGAAACATCACCCATGGTTATACTCGTATTATGGAAGCGTCTTCAATTGGTTCTCCGACAATATAAGTTTTAGAAAATAATATTTAATTGGTTTTCCGTCAGTCTTTGATTGATGTATTTGAGGCTGATAAAATTTAGATCTTCGTACAAGTAAATACTTGGGAGATAAATGGACTTCTTCGTTTCTATAACACGAACCCCATCGAGGCTTGCTAAGGGTGTCGATCCCGGTCGTATGATGATCCGGCAACGTTGGTGCTGCTGTCTGTCGTCCCAGCTTATTGACAGTCCATCCAAATGTAATCGTGGCACGGAAGCGTTTACGAGACAGACTTCTATTACGAGCGTGGTGTGTAATTTGATAGCAAAATTTGAATCGAATAAATACTGTTGGTGATCAGGTATGTCGTGCATTACAAAAGTTGCATACTCGTTAACTGGAGCTAACGTGTTGCCCGTGTGACCTGGTATTCGCAATACTTGTATGGTATTATCTCTTGATGGACTAAAAGACGTGAGAATGGTCCCGTTGTTCATTATTTCGGAGACGTAATCATTATTTAAGAATATTTGGGGTGAAGCTATGGTGATGTTGAGCAACAAGGCGGGCTCTTTGAAATCAGCCAGTGACACTCGCCCGTACACGTTATCTTTAAGTGCAGGACGTACAAGGTGTTTTCCTCACCGGGCAGATCGAATCCCTTCGTGTCCCCAAGATCACCGAGCGTAATTTTGGGGTGGTTCATCGTATACACATGTTACAAAATAGTTTTCAGTTGGTTTTCGGGTAATTTCTGGGACGTGCATTTCAAACCCAATAAGTGTACTTTAGTTCAAGTGCAAGTATATAAGTGTACTTTAGTACAGTAAATTCTAGTACCTTTGTGATGTACAAGAATTTGTGCTTTACTAAGAAATTGCAATCCAAATTATAACATGTGTTACATTGAACCACTTTCTAAAAATCATCATGTACTTAAACTCATGATCATCAAACAACAATACTAAGATTAAAATACTGAGAATATTTCTGTCTGCATTATTAATAAACATTCTTTTAAAGATGACTCACAAAAAAAATTGACATTTCAGACATATTAAACAGTCACTATACCATATTTTCTGTATTTATGTACACTTGAGGTGGAGCAAGTAACTTATTTTTAAAATGCATCCATATTCAATATAATTATCCACTTGCCAAAATATTTAATTAATAATTCAACGCTAATTTAATTGGGTATTGGCAAACCGTGTTGATATACTGATCTACCAACTGAAATCTAACTGATACATCTTGGATACAGACTTATCTCTTACCTCCCAAGAAACAATTAAACATATCAAATACAACAACAATCTTTAATCAAAGCTATGCTTGCAACCTGCTAATATGTCAGTGCTGTTTATAGATTTATTTTTACTATGAAATTGATTATAGTTTCATGTTACTTGCTTCATTTTATCATTAAAGTCAAACATGTCTCATCCAAATAATCAAAATGACTAAAAGAGTAATAGGTTTAGCTGTTCCTAATTTAAAGATAAGAAAGTGGATGCAAACACAAAAGATCATTGTAACTTCTGGTCATTCTGACCTATCTTGCGTCAACATTACACAAACATAATTTAAAGGATAATTATCCATGGTGAAGTTTGATGAAATTGTGGCCAATTATTTGTTTCTTCTCTTCTCATCATTGTGAGTAAGTTAGTTTTACGCCACTTTTAGCAATATTCCAGCAATATCACAGCGTGGGACACCAAAAATGGGCTTCACACATTGTACCTTTGTTGGGAATAGAACCCAGGTCTTCGGTGTGATGAGCGAACACTTTAACCACTAGACTACCCGACAGCCCCTCATCACATTGTGACTTTAGATGTTTGTTTCTTCACTTTCATGACCTTAATCATTTTGATTATCTTGGGTTAATAATCCATTAGAGAATTCAGATTAAGGGTTTCAATACATAGGGCTTTAACTAGTTCCAGTGTAGCATTGTTAATCCATTTCTTTTTCAAAATTGAAGACATGTGCATAGATCATCATGTGCAGCCAGCCAGTCAAGAGTAAGCAGAAAAATTGAAATACTGTAAGAATATGCACAGCAAACTGATCAAAATAACATCAGTTTTCCTATGACCTATACCAGGCAACTATTAGTCAGTCAGCAGGAATCTATGGAATGACACAAATGTATTTTAATATTTTTTAGATAAAACACATATGAAAAGAATTTAACAAATGAATACATTGGATACTTTTAACACTTGTCAATTTCAGTTTGAAGGCAAAGAGCAAGGATGCATAGCCACAATCAGCAAGTCAGTCAATCACTGACATCAGCAAGAACGTATAGCCACAATCAGCAAGTCAGTCAACCATTGACATCAGCAAGAACGTATAGCCACAATCAGCAAGTCAGTCAACCATTGACATCAGCAAGAACGTATAGCCACAATCAGCAAGTCAGTCAACCATTGACATCAGCAAGAACGTATAGCCACAATCAGCAAGTCAGTCAACCACTGACATCAGCAAGAACGTATAGCCACAATCAGCAAGTCAGTCAACCATTGACATCAGCAAGAATGTATAGCCACAATCAGCAAGTCAGTCAACCACTGACATCAGCAAGAACGTATAGCCACAATCAGCAAGTCAGTCAACCACTGACATCAGCAAGAACGTATAGCCACAATCAGCAAGTCAGTCAACCATTGACATCAGCAAAAAGACATACCCAATAAGTAGGTAAGTCAACCATTGCTAATTGTCCCTATGCATTCTTGACATTGCCAACTGTTAAGCCAACCACTGACATCTTCAAGAACACGATCATTCAGGCAATAACACTGCTAGTTTTGACAACCTGATGATGATGCAAACCTTCCAACTTATAAAGGTTTCTGAAACCTTTCCAAACAGCAGCATACAATAGAACCACTTTGGTTTCACAATGACTTTGCCATTCAGGAACAATATCAGCATCTCCTGACCAAACATCACTGACAATCAAGACTACGGTATGGTCAACCCATTCAAGCACAGACAACAGATTCCTTCTGACCCCAAGCCAAGATGAAACAAGCCTTATCACATCACTGAACAAACAGAGCTCAAATTGCTTAAATATTTGCTGCTGATAGACATATGACAGATGCCCACAGCCTCACAATATCCCAAAACACACATCTCATCTACCAGTGGACTGGATACTGGGGCAGAATGACCTTCTGGCAGTAATCGCAATGTGCAGACCAAGAAATTTGTAATGTTTTTTGCCAGTCATGAACATTCCTAACTCAGGAAGCTAAAACGTGATACTTCAATAAACTGGAAGACGTATATATCTTTCTTGTTAATTCTACAGGTGATCAGACCAAACTTGTGACAACCATGTGTGTTACGACTTTACGACTTGGTGTACAGAAAACCATTGCTCTTAAAGGAGAATACGAACGAAAACAACTTTTGATATATTGTAAAGGATATTCTAAAAGTCACATTCCGTGATTAAATATAACAAAAAGTTTGTAAAATAGCCAAAAAGCACAAAAACGTACCCGTATTTCCGCCAATTATATAAACACCTGACAGTTAATGAGCAGAGGGGGTATCACGTGACATGACGTCACATGTGCCTCACAACTTAACAGTGTCCGTGGATTCTGAAGCAGTAAAAGATGTTCCTGATGTCATTTCTGAAATGGATGTTAGACCGTATCAATACGTATCTTGCAAGACAATTTTCCACTGAAGATGAAGAAGAAGAATCAAGCGAAACGAAGGCACCGCTTGAGGTCAAAATAAATTTAAAAATAGACCATATCATTTAACAAGATTACTATTTTTCAGCAAAATTTCATACAGTTCCAGCCAGCAAACTCACCCCTATAAATATATGACCAGTCACAAAGAATTATTTTTTTAAAAATGTGATTACAGTTCATTTTGTGTCTGGGGTTTGTGTAGGGTGTCTGGGATTTAAAAACAAAATAATTGTGCTTCAGACGAGGGAAAATAAAAATTATCTTCTTCAAAAATTACTCTGGAATTATTTTGTTGAAAAAAAATTAGGATCCTAGTTCTCATTAATAACGTATCAAGTA